TCACAAAACAACTAGAAGCTTAATCCTTAAGAAATTGAAAATCTATTGATTTTACAACCCAACATTAAAATTGTACAATGGACCATGGAACTTCAAAAACAAAGTCATATATTGGCCTATGGCTTACCACTCTTGCCACTAGTAAGACTGGTAAGTATTATCCAATCTTATCACCATAAAACACTATGGGTCAATGTTATACCTCAAGTAATCTTCTATGCATATGCGCTGGTATGAAGACATGTCAACTAACTGAGATTAATATGCCCCATACATAAAAGAGATGTCACAGCATACTACAGTACGGACTAACATTACTAAATGCCTCATATAGAATCCTTTTCTCCATCCTCTAGAGAAGTGGAAAACTTCATATGCAAAAACTAATACTGGCCAAGCCTTATTCGTTTTATCGCAGATAAGTCCGTAACTGACAGATCTTTATCTTTATTCAGGCTATAAATAAATAGCTTAAATGCAATATTCCACTATATTACATATTTATAAACCTTAATATATACAAAAAAGTAAAAAGTCTTTATTTTATAAAAATAAAATAATGAATAATTTATAGTTTATATCGAAGACTGTCTTGATAAAAGCAATGATTCGTAAAAGTCTCGTCTAACTCGTATTACATTTAAAATTTCTTACTACTTTACGAGCAATTATTCATATTGACTTTTAATTAATAAAAAAAATTTAGTTATTGTAATCATTAATCTGACTTTTAAGAAAGGTCTCAACCTTTGTTGTTTCAGTTTCTTAAGCTTCCTTAGTCTATAAGTGACGTACCTCAAGTTAAAACAAAAGCATTATAATTATTGATTGAGTCAAATATTAGCTATTTATGACACTGCTTTCACTGATGTACTATTGTATCCTAACAGCTATTTAAAAAATACTTATAATTCTTGCAAAATTTTTAACTTCCTTAGCTTTTCACTTTAACTAATATTATATAGTATAACGACACCTAAAAAAACACAAATAACCCAACAACGCGTTTTGAATGAAGTTATGACGTCTTATTCCCAGTACGCGATCAATAATTATTTTCAAAGTTTCTACTCAGGGTGTTAACTATCTTTTATACTGAGGACTCCAAAATCTCCACTGGTATTGGAATTTGATGATACTAAACGTTGAAACCAAATCTTCATTTTCCATTTGATGTATGATGATATTCTAATTAGAAGAAATGTGTGCCATATTGTAGTTGGCTTACTGGATTTGCAGAAAAAAATAGCACGAGAATTATATCAATATTGGCAATGACACTCAAATTACATTTAAAATTCTTGTTAACTCCTCAAGATCTTCAAAGTTGATCTGTTCTTCTTTTTATTTGCTCAAATGCGAGTTGGTGTCTGAAGCACTTTTATTTTATTTATTTAAGTAATAGGCTATTAAAGCACCCAGACCTAAAACATCTATTGTGCGCCTAAAGGCATGACAGAGTCGACAGGAGTCATTTTCTACCACACCTATGATCTGAAGCACTTTTACTGAATACTGTCTATGACCACTTGAATGATCCTCTGTAATAAGAGCTCCCTTGAATTCTGATAAGAAGTTATTCAGAAAATTTTATAGAAGTGTACTTTCAAGCCCAGCATATGTTTCTGATGGAATATATATTGCATTTGATTTAATAGTTACAATGTTACAAAATTTAATAAACATCTAATACAGGTTCCTGGTCAGTGCAGTATCATAGTTGATAGATTGGCTGGTAACATGAAGGTCCCATGAAGGTTCCACTAGGGTATCTATAGAGCTACCATCAATTTTTGTCATTTATTTTTGGCTTTGTAAAAGTACGTGTCAGTATACTGGCAAAGATTTATAGAAATGTTGAAAATATTGAAATAAAATTTACTTTAATGTCCCAGTACTTTAATGTCAATTCCCAACTTTCTGGAGTAAAAGCCAGATGCCTTTTTCGGTTGAATAGTTGAAATAGTTTTACGTTTGTAACATAACATATTCCACATTAATTTAATATAAACTTACTGTTGATATTCTTTTTTTTTCCTCAAGAAACAACTATATGGCATACAAGTATTCTTTTTCCAAATATTAAGAACTGCGTCGTTGTAATTTTAAACCTATGGCACAAATATTAGAGAGAAGCATAGGAAATCATTAAAAAATATCTAAATCCAAAACATATATATATTTGATTACCCATGTGTCTTTGATTTCCTGCTCCTTAATTGCTTCCACTTCAAAACTGCTGGAGGCTTTTAATTGCTAACCATGATTGCGTAGATTATACATATACCAGGACGACGGGATTTTTTAACCTCTAAAAGCTTTGTGTAAGTTGTTGAGCCAAGAATATGTCATTAGATATCTGTTTGAGGTTTGAGGCTAGCCGTAGGGATCTGCTTGCAAAATCCCTTTAAGGGATGGCGAACGACACTTGGCCTTCTAGATTGACGACTTGCTCCGGAACATAGACACAGCCTTTCTTGAAACCAGATGACGCTATCTCTTATTTGAATGCATCAATTTCTGTCACTGCTGAAGTTATTCAAAGGCTTTTTTCGCGTATTTTATTCATCTTGGCAAATATTTCTTCATCAGCATATTTTCTGAAATATATATTTTTTGTCAATTCTGCAAACGTTATTCTATTTACAGCCAAATGATTTTCGTTTCATAATTAATGCTTTAGAAAAAACAAAATGAACTGAATAATTGCCATTTTTATAAAACTACATTTAAGTAAAATATAAACATTTACTGCATTTTTGCTATTTTGTTTTAGATCATTTTCTAAACATGAAAACGAACAAGAAAAACTAAGCTGTACTCACCATTATTAATTTCGGCTATTCACTTGCAATGACAATATGCTATTGTTTTTCACCACACCAAGGTTGAGAAATGGCACACATAGTATAAAAATAAAAGAATATTTTATTGGTTATTTAGATTTACTTACTCTAGTTACAGACAGTTAATAACATAATTATTTGTCTGTGCTCTAGGAGTAACATTTTTGGAATTATCAAACTTTTTATTTTTATATTAAGAATAAAATTAAATTTTAATAATAAGTAAATTGAAAGAATCAAAACAATAGGAATATTTAAACATGCTCTGTAACTCAGTAAATTGGCATTTACGTTGGCCTCAAATAGCTGATGTGACTTAAAAATCACAAATGACAAGCAAATGACTCATTGCTGCATACAAAATCTCAAGCGCAAATAATACGGCGTTTACATTGGCCGAAAATGGCTCATTTTGGTCAAAAATCGAAAATGAGTATCGAATGACTCATTCTTGCATATAAAATTTCAAGCACAAAAATGAGCAATTTTCTCACATTCTGTATG